ATTGAACACAGGAGCAGCATAAGCATCAGACGCATCTGTACACACTGAACACGCTTCTGGAGCATCAAAGATGCTCTGACCTTTATGTGAACAAGCATAAAAAAATGCTGAAATCACATTAGGTGTGAACATAGCATTAGTGGGTCTATAGAGCAGGGACGGGTCATTAAGCTGGACACTCAATGCTGATTGGCAAACATAATTAAGGACTTTTGACCGACGGTGGCCAGACAGCAAGATTTTCCTCATGAGTCGAGAGGAGAAGAAAAAGTGATCACTCAGTCAGATCAGTCATTTTGTGGTGAACATGCCTTAATTTCTGGAGTTTAATCTTTCACAGCACTTTACATCAGTATATCCCCCGTTGTAGTAATGTGTTTTATGTGTTAATACAATACGTGATGTCTGGATTAAATTAACACCATTGAGTCTCCCCTGTTTAGGAGAGCAACCACCGATACTGCTTGAACTACATTTTAATAATCCAGCAATATGTCATTAATCACATCAGAACACGATCTATCAGCATACCAGCCAAACAAGCCTAACTCCAGTGATCGTAGAGCTTTTACAATGACCTGTAAAAAAAAAAAGCCTAACCCTAAAATGACCATCGTCGCTTTGCCATCTAATCTAGCAAAAGCGCTGTACAACCTGTATGATCTGTCATGATTGGCTTAAGAGACTTAACCCACATGCAGAACACCACTGGAAGCAGAGTAAAAGTTTAACAGAGTTTATTGAAAGGTTTTCACAAAGAGAACATGAACTGGTTCAGGCACAGGTCCGGGACTGGAATCACTGATGTCTGCAGAGACGGATAGTTTGATTAGCCAGGCAGTCAGATGATTTGTCGAGTTAATTAATTCAGAATATACCTTGAAGAGATCCAGACAGATTCTTTGTGAGGGAGGGAACCGGTTGGGTCCAGAGACTTTTGGTTCAGCAAAGTGCTCAGCAGCAGCAGCAGCGTCTAGCTTCTGACTTGTGAGTGGCAGACCTTGGTTTGAGTTTCCAGCTCTTCCTTGAGAGCTGCAGGAGGAGTCCTGATTGAAATCTTCAGGTTTGGCTTCCTTGGGCAGGCAGGCAGGTTTACAGGCAGAGCTCATCCAGAGCTTTAGACCTTAGATGGGTTTCCTGTGAGCAAGAAGACAGAGGCAGGTTAGAATCAGGTTTCTCTCTAGAGACAACTAAGATTCTTTCTGAATAACAGAGGCTCAGGTTCGCTAACCAAACTTGGTCAACACTGCGGCGTTGAAGGAAGGTCTGGCTGCTGCTTATGTAGGAAGGTCTCCTGATGGGCTGATGAGCTTCAGGTGTGCTCCAGCCCAGGAGACCCACAGCGCACTCTGCTGGAGAAAGGTGGTAAATCTCCAGATCCCAACATGATCGAAATCAACACAATCTCAGCGAATGTGTTGCTTTACTTAGCAACTTTTCAGACTTATTTTTTTCCAAACAACTGACAATAAAGTCTAGCTACTACTTTCTGTCTTGGAGAGGACTTCAATGGGCATTTCCCAATCGGTGTTCCTTCCTGCCCACTTCTCACTCCGTTTGTGCATTCCCGCAGAGGGTCGGCAATATTAATTCCTATCTGAAACCAGTTATGTACGTGTGAGTAGCTATAAGGCCCTCCACAGTGAGTGAGGACTGCGGAGTGTTTTTTAAATTTGCGTGTAGCATGTACAAGACCATTTCTCCTGGTGCACGTCCTGTTTAAAATGTTCTGTTCTCATAGCTTATACAAGCTACTGTAACCACATACAGCAGGGACTATACTCCAGTCTGTCACTGCCCACTGCACATCATCGGTGCTTTCTGTATTAGGTGGATGTACAAGGAAGTTCCGTTGAATCTGACCAAATCAGAGCTGCGTCTGGATGTACCAAAGTGGAATCTTTTTTTTCATTGCTTCTAGGGTTTCCCAAAAGTCAAGGGTTCCAAGGCGATTCAAAAGTTGTTAATAGACAAATTAGCAGCAGTCCGTAATGTTAAGATTCAACTGTGCTTTTATTGTGAAATGAGGGCAGCAAGACCTTGCCAGAAGTGTCTGGGAGGTTGGTGATTTACTAAATATCAAACAATGATTCCAGCCACTAAATATGGTAAACATAAATAGTGTTATATTGAATGCCAGCAAACGAATGAAATATGATGTTATGCTATAACTTAATATCTGGTAACAAGTGCAGCACTAATTAAAAATCTTAAAAACTACATCAGCACAAATGACAGTTTTACATGCACATATCTTGTAGTAATGAAAAGATAGGCTAGATAATTTTGATTAAATTCAGAGCTCAATGGGAGGATAGTTGACTTCTGGATGACCTAAAAAATAACCACTAATAGCTATGTAACAATAATAGCATACATGATTTTTTATTTTTTTATTTTGAATTTTTACAAAAGACAATTTTAAATGCACAAACATGCACAAATGAAGACTATTTGTTTGTTTGTTTTTTTCACTTCAGAGGGGTGTCAGCTTCACGCAGCTGACGCTCCTCACATTTCATTTGGTGTAAACCCTGTGCATCTGCGATGCAGAGCGGTGAACTCCCGGGCCAGGGGGCTTCGCAGAAATTAGCGTGGAGACCTTGCTTGGTCTGAACCCACAATCAGCCAGACAATTCAACAGTGTTTTTCCCCTACAAATCTTCTTAAGATTCATCTTTTCCACTAACTCTGCAAAACAAGAGCTGGGAAGAAGACTTTGTGTTACACTGCAGAGTCCAGGGCCCTCCTGGAATGGCCACATCAACAAAAAAACAGGCTGGGTTCTTGGCAGACTAACATCCGAAAGGCAATGCAGGCAATGCTTTGAATTAAAGTTGTCATTAGAAACCTCCAACAACATTTGAGTGAAGAAAGATATGTATTTGGTTTTTATAAATCATTTTATATTTTATGTCAGATTACCTGCCAGGAAAATATTAAGTTGTTAAATTATTTAAATATTTAGTAGTGTTCTTCTAATTTTTGTTTTACATGCTGTGCTTTTGTTTACTTTTACATCTTTATCTTTTGATGATTTTACAGCACATCTTTGTCCCACACAAATGTACCCTATACCATGAACATTTCTATTCAAATAATATACAAAAAAACAAGACTGTACTATGGATGAGCCTATTATAGATGTTTGCTAAAAAGCTTCCACTAGTAAAGAAGTAATATTTATTTAAAATAAGGCACCAGAATGGAGAATTATCCTGCTACTGTAACTAAATTTAACCTTACTTTGCTCATAATCTGTCATGTGAATAAGAGCAGAGGCGTAGCCAGAAAATTTTAATAGGGGTGGCAATTAAATAACCAATGTAAACTGAGGGGTGGCCAAAAGAGAATAGGCCACAGAACCTCAGGTTCCATCTGTTCCAACAGGGACAAGCACATCCATATTTTCTAAATAAAGACAAACTATACCTTTCTACAGCCTTTTGATTAAAAATAGATACATATATTTAAACATCCATGCTGTCTAAATAAAAGGTATAGTGGACAAAATGTCTGGGGAAAACATATTTTCCATTGTCATTACTTTCCAACTGTTATCAAAATTTGTTCTGCTACACGTCAATATGACATGTACTAATATCTACATTAAATTGATTTTTAACTTATTATTAATTAATTAATATTTTTGCAGAGACATAATTTTCTCTTTACCCCATAAAACACAAAATTAGGGTCTCAAAAGAGCATGAATTTTGTATATATAAACTTTAATGTTAGTATTTTGATGTGCATGTCATGTTTAGAGAAGAACGACCCTGAATCAGGGCGACCACGGAGACAGTTTGTTTGATTAAGGAAAAGGCTTTATTTAACAATGATCAGGAAATGGTGTCTGGCAGGATCTTCCTGGGTTCTGCTTGGGGAAAAGATAGAGTGATGATGAATAACTGGTCAGAGGAGGTGGGAAGGTGGAGAAAGCTAAACTCACAGGGTTTGAGGTCGTTTGGATTTGGAGGGATGGTGTCCTTAGTCCAGGTGCAAACATAGACTCTCTCTCTGGTGATGGTGTGTAGGAGGGTGGACAGGCAGGTGTGCTCCTGTAGGAGGGCTGCAGCAGACTGACCTGAGAGATCCAACAGATGAGGAAGGTCCAGGCTTGGATGTTCAGTTGGCTTGGTTTGAAACTAGGAGGGAAAAGACGGAGACAAGGAATTAGAGCTGGCTTTAGAGAGATCTTGAAGCTAGGTGGTCAGTGTATTCTCATTATGAGTTTGTATGAAATCGTACGAAAAGTTATGCACTGTTTTTGACGTTTTTTTCGTCGTATTTCGTCGTATTTTTATGTCTTGCCTCGAGACAAGTTTAAACATTCCTCTTGATAGTATTACTGCTGCCACCGTCTGTATTAGAGGGTGAAAAAAATGGTACAGGTGGCCAATGAGTGGCTGAGGGTGGCCATGTCCACCTCTGGGCCCCCATCTAGCTCCACCCCTGAATCAGAGTGGAGGAGGTACAGCTTTATACTCTGAAGAGTTTTCAGTCACCTGTAAGTAAGATTTAAAAATAGTTATTTGAGTAAATATATTTAGTTCATACTCCAAATATACTAAATCTGCGATTCATTTATTTTTTGTTTTTACTTATATCCTTTTATGTCTAATGATTTGATATTTTAAAACACTTACTGTAACTATAAAAGCTATTATCAATTCAGAAAATGCAATTTTATTTGTCCAGCTTCATTGATGTTATCTGCTATTGTATGCAGAACAAAATGTTTATTATTTATTATTATGAGTTACACCTGTATTATAGCTGACAGAGACTCTGAAAGTTTTGAAAGAACAGATAATTTCTCATGAGGGCTGAGCGTACTTCAGAAAATGAATGCAAAGATAAATGTGCTTTCTGCCTTATAGCCTTTAAGTTACATACATGTACTGCACACAATTTAAATAAATTATAACTACAGTAGTGTTATGTAAAAAAAAGACCATATAAAGTTGAATAATTCATAATTTTCTATTTTTTTAAAGCTGTTTGTGGTGGACCAATAATTAATCTGATGAGGAAAGCATCACAGTCTTCAACCTTCATTCTTAATAACAGTACATACACTGCTGACCGGGCCTTTGATGGGGATCCCTCCACATGTTCTCACAGTGACAAACAGAGCAACCCCTGGTGGAGAATCGACCTTCAGGGGGTTTACAACATTTCTTGCATCTCTATCTATAATATTGATCAGAATGGCGGTGAGACTAACATAACAGGTGCTAAGATCTACATCGGAAACTCTCTGCAGAACAACGGCACGAACAACAAACTGTAAGAACCTCTTGTTTTATTTAACTGATTTAATTCTACCTTTTTTAACCATTTGCTTGTATATCATGAAACAGTCATTCCTCTAGATACACTTAGAAAACCTTAATCGACCTTATAGTTGTATGTGGAAGAATTTCTTTAAAGACTATTCTGATTAAATTCACATTAAATTGTTCATGATTGGGTTTCATGTCAGATGGTACAAATAGCCTAGTCCTTCTGTGAATCCTGCAGGTCTCTAATGTAGAGGTGAGTATGGCATGAGTGTTGCGATTTGATACATGTCGCGATACTTGGGTCACGATACGATATTATTACGATATTGCAGTATCACTATATATTGCCATATTTTCCCCAGCTATCAAAATCAAATGATGAGATAAAACAGCAAGTGCTGTATATTTTCATCAGAAAATATTGATTAGGTATTTTTATCCATGTTTTTTGGGGTTTTCTTCCACTGTGACTGCCTCAAATACAGATTTGGTGCTGCACGCACAGTTAAAGGGCTCCACAGCGCTTTCTGCCAGAGTGGTGGTGCAGTGGTAGCCCATTTTCCCATCAATGTTTTATGTAACCATTTTTAAAAAAAAAAATCGATACTAAGAAGTGAAAGATCGATATTATATTGTGCAGCCGAATATCACGATATATCGCCAAAACGATTATTTCCCACACCCCTACTCTAATGTTTGCTGTTAATTTTCTGCTCCATCTTTATCTTCAAGGCAGCTGGATTATTTTGACTGAATATGAAGTTATTAATTTTTAACAGCTTCTAGCCGATTGTGGTTGATCATCTTTTTGTCAAATTGTTACATGTTTTTTTTTCTTCTCTTTATCCAGGGTTCAAAACATCACTAACTTTGAGACAAACAAAAACAATGTCTATCGGCTTCAGTCATCAGTTTCTGGGCGCTATGTCACTGTGATCTCACCAACAAAACCACATATGATTCTTTGTGAAGTAAAAATCACTGGCAAAAAGCTTGGTATGTGATCCATGATCATAAACTCCCATCATAGAAAGGCTCACTAGTTTGATTTCCATTTTCAGTGTAACTGTCAGTCTTTTACCAGCAGACATACATTATTGTATTACATTAACATGCAGATTCTGCTTCTAAAAAGCACCAGATGCTGCGTCTTTGCCTGGTGTCCTACTCACAAATGTGGCAGACGAGTGTTAGAGAAAGATAATCTGTATGAAAAACATAATCTCATGCAACTAATGTCGAGCGTTTGCTGACAAAATGAGAATTGTCATGAGAAAAGGGTTAATTCAAAAGTACCATAGATTATCATATTCAAATAACATTAGTGTAGAGCTGTAAACAGTTATACGTGTTTATTTCCATCTGCATTCAGCCTGGAAGGAGGAAACTGCCCCTTCAGGTTCAATGATGTATTTGTATTTCTCTGTAGTATAACTATTTAATGTTGTGAAATCCTTGCTTTTTTTTACTGCACTGCAGTGATTACAGACGATTTTTGATTTAACAGGGTTTTTTGATTCCAGGATTTTACCGTGAAATAATAATTAAATGCTGTACAATCCAAGTTTTTTTTATAGGTTTTCTTTTGGATAGCACAGGGAAACATAATTATAACAACTTTCTGTAAAATAATGCTGGTAATTATTCCGGAAAGTTGATCATTTTTAACTGTGTGACCCTTTACAGTTTTGCACATCCCAAAACTGTATTTAAACTAAGTTTGTGTTTGTTTTTCTGTTGAAGATTCGCCTTTTAAACTAATTAAGCAAAACAAGAACTGGGAAGAAGCCCTGTACTACTGCAGAGATAACCACAGAGATCTGGCCTCCATCCTGGATCAAGAGATGCAGGCCTTTGCTGAGCTGGAGGCTGAGAAGGCCAGCAGTCCCTTCGTATGGCTCGGCCTTCATTACACCTGCACCCTGGACTTCTGGTTCTGGGTTGATGATAATGTTGTGCGTTTCAAACGGTGGGCTAACAACCCCCCAGAGGAGGACTGTGACATGAGTGGAGCCATAAAGACACATGGAGACCATCTGTGGTTCAGCAAGTCTGATTATGAGAAGTTTAATTTTATCTGTTTGCTTTAGGAAGATTTTAGACTTCTACCTGATTGTAATGTTAATGTTCCTTTATTATTGCCTCCTCTTTGATTTTATTATGATTTAGAAAATTTTCTCTAAAGTGTTGCAATGACCACTTAGAGAGTTTATTATTCTTGCTTCCACTTATGTACATTACTGTAGTAACTGAGTTATGGATTTTGAACAGCTGAATATTTGGAAATTAAAGTTTCTGTAACCTTTTACAATGTGTAACATTTTGTCATATCAGTTAAGTAAATGGTAAAAAGGTGAATCATTTAATAAGTTTATTTCATTACACAGTGCCCAGAATTTGTGTAATTGATTATTTCAAAAATAGCAAACTTCTTTATTATTCTTTAAAAAAAATGTCCAGCATTGATCTGTACATTTCTATTATTTTCATGAAGAGCTACATTTTGAATGACAAGCTTAAAGGGAAACACTGTATTTTTTTTTTTTTTTTTTACATTGGGCCCTTGATTTTATGTTATTACATCATGTTCTACTCACCCATATGAGTTTTGTGTCATTTGGAGCTGTTCTGAAGATATTCCGTGAGGTTATATCCAAGTAACATCTTCCTATGGGCAAACAACTTTGTTCTCACCGCAGAGAGAGTCAGCATTGTCGCTTTTGTAGGATTTAGTTGATGCAGTGCCTCTGTTATAATCTGTAGCACTGGAAAAAGTCAAAATCAAATGCACTTATTTTAAGAAAATAAGTGCATTTGTTCTTGGGTTGAGGAGGTAAAAGAGACATCTTGCCAATGGAACAAGACAATTTATATTTAAAATAAGAAAACACAATTGCATTGTCTTATTTCAAGTGCATGTTATATAATTATCTTTATTTCAAGAGTAAAAATACTCATTCCATTGTCAAACTGTCTCATTTACCTACTCAAATCAAGGGTAAATATACTTAATTTAAGGAATGTTTTCCTTATTTGTAGATCGTTTTTCCAGTGGGAGCCTTCTCACTGCGCTGCAACACAAAGAAGGACTGCTGCTGGCGAATTATTATCAACAGGAGCCTGGAGCAGAAACATTTTATAGGACATAAAAAAAAAGAGTGAAGATGTAACTTTTACAATGTTTAAAATTTTACTGTGTAATGTCACCCACGATAATGCATTGGTTTATTTGAAAATTTTACTGTTCTAATGAAACAGATGCAAGCTCTGAGTAAGACTCTGTGCTCAAAGAGCTCTTCTGCCCCCTTCCCGTCCTCCTCAGAATCACCATTCACAGCCTCTGACACAGGACAAGATGTTTAATTTTTATTTTGAACTAAATTGACACAAGGGGAAAAATGTCTTCCCTACAAAAAATATACATTGGTTTGGGTTTCTATGCAGCAGCTGTTAAACACATCTGTCCCAGACTAAGCCAGTGTCATGATCTTGGCACCTATGATTGGCTTAATGATTCATTCCATTAGGCCAATCATTAGTGCTAAGATCATGACCGCCATGGCACTGGCCTAGCCAGCGATGTTTAGCTTAATGATTCATTCCATCCACCTGTTTAGCGCTGCCCAGTTTCTCATCACTGTTCAGTTTATACAACTGTTTTTGCTGTTGTGCAAAATGATATCCTGCAGATAATGAATAAATGATTAACTAGAACTGGACTTGTAATTAATCATTTGACTTATTCAAAATCAGAGGGGAAATCAATTTAGTGTTAGTTGAATAATTGTAGCTCTAATTTGCTTACTTACCAGGGTTTATGCCTTTCACTTCTGGATGGTTCCTGGACCGGCTGTTAAAATCCAGGTATCCACACCAATTTAGTGACCCAGGCTAGGTTATCATCAGAGTTATGAATTATCAATCAAAGACATTTTTATCTCTGTTTATTCAAACTATTACCAAACGAGGGTGGATCTGGCCTGAGTGATAAACAATTTGTATTTGAATCTCACACAACTGCAAGTTAAACACCAATATCTTTATTTTAATAATACAGGATTACAGAAATCTAACATCTATGCAAAACACTACATGCTATTAAAAAATAAACAAGTGACTAGTTTTGAAAGAAAAAGAATAAAACCCTAAGAGTCTGTTTAACTGGCTTCTGAGATTGTCCAAGATAGGCCAGATGTTAACACATTCAATAATGTCCGTTTGGCTGAGTTGCAGATCCAACATATATTAAAAATGCTTTTGTGAATAACATCTGTCTCTCTGCTTCGATTTCTGCGTCCATAGTCCTGCGTCCTGACAAGGGACATGTGAGGCCCCACAGATCCAGTGGTTATTGTAGACTGACCTTTATGACAAGTTCAGATTCAAAGTTAGCATTATATCTGGTGATAAAAATATGGATTCGGATCACAGATTTTTTAAAATACTTTAAGCAGCAAGAGGTGATAAGTGTTTGAGGCTGCTTTGCTCTGCAGGAGCAAAAAAAAAAAACCAGTGAAGTTCTCAATCAATAGAAAATGAAAAGTAATGTTAATTTCTTATTACAAATGCAATCCCTGTAAAACATGGTTGAATAAAGAAAATTATTATTCACCTGAGGAAAGAACCGTTGATCAGTAAAACAGGTAAACAGCATCACTCAGTCAGATAACCCATTTGATTGTAAAATGTTATGAAGATTTTAGAGGATAGAGAGATGAGAGTTACAGAACCTTATATTCCAGTTGGATGTCAGAAATCCAAAGTTACCATTTCGCCTCAATCACATTTGGGACAAAGGTTGTTTTTCAATATTTATATGAACTGGGAATCCAAAGGGCTTTCCCAAAGACACAATGTATATTCACTGTGGAGTGGATAAGACTCATCATTTATTGGGTCTTCCCTCAAAATATGTTCCTCATACATCTTCATGTTCCGGGAATAATATTTGAATAAAAATTGATATTTAATCATTTCTGTCATGAAACCCTTTGAGAAAAAATAGCTCAGACAGTCAAAGTAACTGCAACCATCAGCCAGTTTGTCATCAAGTTTCAATCAGGTTTTTGGTGTCCTCATAAATCACAACTATAAGTGCAACAATATTACGCCGATAGCAATAAATAAAAAAAACTATTGATGTCCGTGTTTGTCATAATTTCAAAAGAAATTAAACCTTTGGACATAGTATACAAAAGATTTTTACTCTCCTCAAAACTGTTAAATTTAGCTGCAGATAGAAGCATGAAAGCCCTTTTAAAATAAAACTAAGTTTCTTGCAGATATATGAGTTTTATTAAAATACTTCATTTTTGTCTTGGTGGGGGGTGTAGGTGAAATTGAGGTAGAGAGGTAGGCTTCGTCTGTCACACATGCATGTTAGTACACATGGTGAGATCTACCTATGTGCCAAATTTCAAGTCTCTGCGACTTACGATTTTCCCCATATCACTCTAGGGGGCGCTGTTGAAGGCGTTTGGCAATGTCCATTTCTACTTCCATTAAAATGCCTAAATTTTACATGGGAGACAAATTTTTTGCAAAGTTTGGTGAGTTTTTAGATGTTAAAGCCTCCAAATAAGCATTTCATTAGGGGAAAAAAACAATAATAAAAATTTGAAATACAATAGGCCTTCGTAGCGCTTTCGCTTCTTGAGCCTTATTACTCATAACATGAGTTTGTTACCCTGTTCAAACATACTTTTTGTCCTCCTGCTAATGCAGAGGAAACTGCTAAGAAGATTTGGAATCAAGTGTTGAGACACAAACACTGATTGCACATATAATTATGGTCTGACCACTGAGTGACTGTTAGCACAACCCCCTTGTTACGGTATTAGGACTGTGGCTCTTCAAGGAAATGTACTGCCGGCCAAATTATCAATGCAATTCTTGAAGGCAGACACGAGCAGGTCCAATTACTGCGGTGCTATGTGTTCCTTCTAGAAAGATGCAACAAGCTGATAGTTCATCTTTAAAGGAGGAGTTTAAGTATCTTGAAGTCTTTTTCACGAATGAGGAGAAGATAGAGTGAGAGATCGATAGGCGGATTGGTGCGGCGTCTGCTGTGAAGCGGGCTGTCTGTTGTGGTAAAGACAAATCTCTCAATTTACCGGTTGATCTACTTCCTACCCTCATCTATGGTCATGAGCTTTTGGTCTGCAGGGTTTTGTGCAGGTTTATTGCAGGTTTGTTCTCAGTGTAACCTTGTAACCTGATTCTCCCATTGCTTACCTGTCCTTTGTCCTTCACTGTTCTAATCCTAGGACAAGCCTCAGAACCTGGAGCTCCTCATTTATTCCTCTTGTGCAATTCCCAAGTGAGGTTTTAGTGCAGAATCTATGGCTCCCCAAAGCTGTCCAGCCAAGTACAGATCCAAGTTTCAGCAAAGAATGTACACAGCCTATTCCACCCTCCACCGCAAACCTTCACCCCTTACTAGCATCGGATTCCTCCTGCAAAACCTCAGGAGTAAACTTGTGCCCTATAGTTAAAAATGCAGTTCAAACCACAGATTGGTAGGAAGTTCATGGAAGAAAATTATTGTCTTACAGGCTTAATGAGATAAGTAGGATTTACGCTGCCCTGGAAGGCTTTTAAAACTGTGTTTGAATGGCGACAAAGCCCTTGTCAAGCACATATCATGCTCATTTTGAGCCTGGATCGATATTTATTTTTTATTATGTTCATGAGCCAATCTCAAAATATGCAGGGCCATCATCAACACTCAAATGTGCAGGGCCATCTTTGAGCACACCATTTCACTTTTCTTTCACCAGTTCACTGTAGTTCTTCCAGCAGTCCACATTTTCTCCGCTCTCTTTTTCTCATCGTCTTCCTCTTCTTTCCCATCGCCCAGCTTGCCACAGGTTTGCCTTCTGTGTCTAAAAGTGGCTTGCAGCGGTGACCCAGACTGCCGGATGCAATGAAGTTAGACAGTGTCGTCACACAACATGCAGTAATCTATACATGTGGACCGTGGTCTGCTAATGTGTAACATCTACTGTAGCTCCTCAAAATACCTCCCATACATCCAATTTTTCATTCATCCCCAACCTCCAATGTTACCTGTTTTATTCATCAGAATACTGCTACAAAAACATTCAGTAGGGACAATTAAATAAAATGTATTGCAAGACTTTTGTTGACCTTACTGGGAATGTAATCGTTACATTCTGTATCACCGGAACCCCCTCTTTTCATCATATTACCCCTGTCCTTCAGCAGCTCTGTTGGCTCCCAGTTCCATTTAGAATACAATTCAAAATCCTTCTTTATACTTTCAAAGTTATCCATAACCTTGCTCCTCCATATCTGTCAGACCTCCTTCACAAAGAGCCTTCAGCTGCTCTGCTCCGCAGCTTTGGAACTCGCTCCATCCTGACCTCCGCAGTATTGACTCTCTCTCCTTATTCTAAACCAGACTCAAAACCCACCTGTTCCAGCTCACTTATTTGTAAATACATTACTCTCGTCCCGCCCCATAATTGTTTTTATGTTCATGTTTTTGTATCTTTGTATTTTCATTTTTATGTTCTGTAAAGTGACCTTGAGCATCTAGAAAGGTTAAATAAAATGTATCATTATTATTATTATAATTACTCATTTAACAGTAAATAGAGCTGTCGTATGGTACTGTTGAGGACAGAAATTGTTAGGACGGCTACCAGCCATTTGGTCTGGGATATGTGCTTTGGTTTCTCCTATCACTCGTATTTCCATAAGTTGACAAGAGGAAATGGATAATGATCTAAAAGTTCCCCAGTTCCCCTGTGTGAATAGATGCCACTGATGCCAGAATGAGCCGTCTTTCATATATATATGATAGCCCTCATTTACACACACACTGCAATTTATTTATTGAGGTGGTTTCATTGACCACCTCACCAGGGGGGGTTATTAGAGATAGATTAGGAATGTGAGCTGTATACTGTTATATGCATGCTACTCTGAGTATTTCTGTTACCTTATATAAACATAATGTAATGTGGGGATCAAGACCGGATACTGAAATCCCAGACTTTGGGTGATAGTGTATGGTTTTAGTATTTAAAAACCCATTAGGGAGTCTCTTTCCTTTGGGTGGAGAACCAAGCTTGAGGTATAGGAATTGTTTCTCTGTATCACTGGAATAAATTCTGTTACACCTTGAAATGCTTTTTTTTCCATTTTGCATTACATAATGTGGCATTCTGGAGTTGTATAAAAGGCTTCTTTAACTGGGGTTCGGTTTCACTTCAACTAGAAGCAAGCCTGGTTGATAAGCACTGCCTTCTGAGCAGGATTATGATTTCCATAAAACTCTATTGTCATTTCTCATAGTTATTTAATACATATATATTATTAAGGGTTATTTAAAGAGTTTATCTTAAATGATCTCCTCTCTGTTTTGTTTTTTTGTTTTTTTAACCTACTTTACACTTTCCTTTTCTCCTTATTTCTTTGTTTATAACAGAAAACAAAGTGATGACAATTAGTCCTTCTTTGTTACAGTGTTAAATTGTTGAGGTGTGGTGATACTTATATAAACTAGATAGATTTACTTTAGTGGTGCTTCTTTTAAAACTTGGAGCAGCTGTTATCAGTGGGGCTTCTCTGTCTATCAAAGGCACATTCATAAATGTTTCCTTTAAACTGGAGTTACTAATAAACAGGAAGAACAGAGCTGCTGTTGATAAGAATATCTGTTTACTCAGACTCTCACGCTAAAAAAAAACAAAAAAACTGTTGACCTATCTGTAAATTAGCTGCAAGTAACATTTAATAAAACACATTTGTGTATCAAATAAATTTTGAGGCTAAAAGAGAGGATCATACCAGATAATAGCGAGAAACATCCTGCTGAGCATAAAATGCTGGATTTAAAAGCACCAAGTCTTATTTTCTGTAACACGTTAGATCTTCTACACTCCAAAGCTGCCTGAAATAACTTTTAAAAAGTGAAGTGAGATACAGTAGTTTTATTTTGACAGTAAAATCTTCATAACCCTATTGGTATTTGATTAGTCAAAAATATAGCGTATAGGGTTATTTCAGTTGGTAAATTAACAGGAAGTACTGGGGAACTAAAGAGCCAGTTTTCTTTATAAAACAGTTGACAAATACATTATATAGATGTATTTGTCAACTGTTTTACATAACTTTTTTTCATATTTACCTATGAGACACAGCAATATTTATTTTTGATCTTAAGATAAAAAAGGTCTAAATTTGAAATGACGTCTGAGGTAACAGCTGTATATTTGAATAAGGGCGTGTAATAAATTCATTTTTATGAAAACTGTGGAGGAAGCAGAATTCACTCAGGTTAAGTGGACATCGGAATGGATTGTAGTTTTCCTTCCAAGATGCTGTGGAGTTTGGTTTTCCTCTGGGTTATAAGTAAGTGGCTCATTTTATTCATCTGAATGTCTATCTGATTATTGTTAAAATATTAAAAAGATGAGTAAGAGTTCAGATTTACAACAAACAGATCTACTTTGAAAGAGCTGAATCTGTTGTTTTAAAGCTACAGTGTGTAATAATTACAGTGATATACAGTCAGAAATGTAATATATTATACATAACTATGTTATTTATCATCATCTACGAGCTCAGCCTTTTAACCTTAATATTTGCGTTGCCTTAGAATTCGTTATAATTACATAGGAGCGGGTCTCGCAGCCATGGAGGCAGACATCTTTGCGCTACGGCAGTGCAGAGTCAACAAACTAGCGATTGCGAGATTGCCCATTACGCTCGAAAGTAACTACGGCAAGTTGAGAGAGATGAACTGAGACGGTACTGAACAATAGATGGCAGTATTAAAATTATCTATGTAAACAAAACTCATCACTTGAGAAGGTAGGTGATGCGGACATCATGGAAGACATTTTGTCCCGTAACGCTCGCCGTACTGTTGGGGGGGAGAAGCGGTGGGGGGGAGATGTTCATGTTGCTGCGGTCTGCAGTCTGAACGTTAGATGTCGTTGAAAATTACACACTGTAGCTTTAAGGATTAAAAAAAATGTAAATATTAGCGTTATTTTAATAACTTCTTTGGAATTTACAGCAACCCAAAATGTAGCTGTGCAGACAACAGGTAGGATCAAATATTCTTTATTAAACTTAAGACAAGGACAAAATGTTGGATAAGATGTATATAAGCTAAACACAAAAGTTATTATATATATATATATATATATATATATATATATTTGTATTTGATCCCCAGATGTCCGCAACACAGTGAGCACAAGTCTGAAGGCGAAGAATGCATCTCAGTCCTCAACCTTAGATGATGGAGAACGGGTACCATTGATCCCTCCCAGAGCCTTTGATGAGAATCCTGAGACATGTTGTCGCACCCAGAAACAGACTAACCCCTGGTGGAGAATTGACCTGCAGGGGATTTACAACATTTCCTGCATCTCTATCTATACTAAACCAGAGGAAGTAGCTTACATATCTGGAGCTCAGATCTACATCGGGAACTCTCTAGAGAACAACGGCACCAACAACAGGCTGTAAGAACAACATGATACCTTAATGGGATTTATTTTATATTTTCAGACCTTGAAGTAATTTTTTTATGAACATATCAATGTATTAAATGTGGTTGTTTTCAAACATGGAATTGAATGTACTTTTTTTGCTTAGATTTTTTTAGAAGTACGTCACACAGGGGATTTTCAAGAACATGCCGGGAGCAACAATGAAACCTGATGAGAATTGTTTATTTGTTTTTTAAACACAAGATAAAATGCTAGAGTCAGCTCTTTTACAAATCCTGAAAGTCTCAGAAAGCTGAAAGACATTGAAGTTTTTAAAATGTAACCATCACAATCTCACTGCTTTCCTTAGTGGTTCCTTCTTCTGCATCTTTTGCTACAATAATGTTCAGTAGTATTCAGTGTCTGATCAGCTGTTTGTTTGGATATTTTTCCACATCCAGGGTTTACAACATCACAGCCCAAGGACAGGAGATAAACTATAAAAACCTTAATATGACTGCCTTCAGCTTTACCACCTCAGCGTTGGGGCGATACGTCACTGTGTTCAGACCAGGCCAAAATCATCTGGTTCTTTGTGAGGTGAACATCACTGGTATGTTTGATTTAATTTACTGCCATAAAGAGAGAAATGTAAAATTATTAGTAGCTGCAGATAACTTAGACTGTTATTGTTATTTTAAAGCTATAAAAGGAGGGTATGTTTTTTTGGGTAAATCATTTTATGTAAATATTTTGCTAAAATTGTAATTAAATTAATAAAATATTTTTCATTGGTTGTTAAATTTGGATTAGTCCCTATAATATTTCTAATTTGCTCAGAAAAATATCCTTGTTTTATTTTTTCGGATAGATATATATACACTCACCGGCCACTTTATTAGGTACCCCATGCTAGTAATGGGTTGGACCCCCTTTTGCCTTCAGAACTGCCTCAATTCTTCGTGGCATAGATTCAACAAGGTGCTGGAAGCATTCCTCAGGGAGTTTGGTCCATATTGACATGATGGCATCACACAGTTGCCGCAGATTTGTCGGCTGCACATCCATGATGCGAATCTCCCGTTCCACCACATCCCAAAGATGCTCTATTGGATTGAGATCTGGTGATTGTGGAGGCCATTTGAGTACAGTGAACTCATTGTCATGTTCAAGAAACCATTCTGAGATGATTCCAGCTTTATGACATGGCGCATTATCCTGCTGAAAGTAGCCATCAGAAGTTGGGTACATTGTGGTCATAAAGGGATGGACATGGTCAGCAACAATACTCAGGTAGGCTGTGGTGTTGCAATGATGCTCAATTGGTACCAAGGCACCCAAAGAGTGCCAAGAAAATATTCCCCACACCATGACACCACCACCACCAGCCTGAACCGTTGATACAAGGCAGGGTGGATCCATGCTTTCATGTTGTAGACGCCAAATCCTGACCCTACCATCCGAATGTCGCAGCAGAAATCCAGACTCATCAGACCAGGCAACGTTTTTCCAATCTTCTTTTGTCCTATTTCGATGAGCTTGTGCAAATTGTAGCCTCAGTTTCTTGTTCTTAGCTGAAAGGAGTGGCACCCGGTGTGGTCTTCTGCTGCTGTAGCCCATCTGCCTCAAAGTTCCTACGTACTGTGCGTTCAGAGATGCTCTTCTGCCCACCTTGGTTGTAACGGGTGTTTATTTGAGTCACTGTTGCCCTTCTATCAGCTCGAACCAGTCTGGCCATTCTCCTCTGACCTCTGGCATCAACAAGGCATTTCCGCCCACAGAACTGCCGCTCACTGGATGTTTTTTCTTTTTCGGACCATTCTCTGTAAACCCTAGAGATGGTTTTTGCGTGAAAATCCCAGTAGATCAGCAGTTTCTGAAATACTCAGACCAGCCCTTCTGGCACCAACAATCATGCCACGTTCAAAGTCACTCAAATCACCTTTCTTCCCCATACTGATGCTCGGTTTGAACTGCAGGAGATTGTCTTGACCATGTCTACATGCCTAAATGCACTAAGTTGCCGCCATGTGATTGGCTGCTTAGAAATTAAGTGTTAACGAGCAGTTGGACAGGTGTACCTTATAAAGTGGCCCGGTGAGTGTATATATCTCTGCAAGTAGAAATAGAAAGAAGTGAAGAGGACATAATCAATGGTTTCACCTTTACATCCACTAAAAAGTACAATTGTTACTTACAGTATGAAAAAACCCCTGACATATTTGCTTTGGACAATTAATACTGATGTACAATTTTGAAAACAACCTCTTTGACTTTTCTTTCGTAACAATATATCTATATGGGAGTCCATCTGTGTTAACTGGCTTTTGCCAGTCTCTACCCATCTATCTTATCTATCTTATCCATCTTATCTGTAAGTAGAATTTCAGCAATAATAGAGAACCAAGAGAGGTATATATGTGTATATATATATATATATGTTTGTGTGTGTATTTAATATAACTTCCCATACAATTAGGAACTCTTTTTTTTTCATAAATTAAAAAAAACGAACACAAAATTATATTTCAATAGTTCATTGTTACTGCTGTATTAAGCACTGACTAAAAATGAAGATGTGAGGTTTGTTACACATCATTAAAGACATTTAAAAATATATATAATAAAACAGAAACTTATGTTAGCTCATAAAATAAAAGATGTGAAACACTGATAATCACCTATGGAGATGTTTTTACCAGCATCCATTCTGTCTAATCATTACATCTGCATCAATAAACTACATCTGATCAAAACTAGACAGTGTGGAAATGTGCTAAAGTCCTAAGGATGGTTCTTCCTCTCCTGAAGCTCCCTCTGATCATCACATCCTCCATCACATCTGCTGACCTTCCTGAAAAACAACAAAGACACAGTTTTATTATCCCAGCTGCAAAGTCAAATGGCAACAACAAGTGGTAAAACATGAAAATTTGAAGGGATTCATTGGAAGAAAATGGGTCTAAATAAGGCCTTCATATTAGGGCTGGGTTATAAACCAAATTTTTAGGGTTACTGTCATTCATCTTGACCTGTTCGGCATCCAACGTACCGGAGCAGAGCAAAAAATTGGCTCCGTATTTCGACTGTGAAGTATAGAGAATTCGTATGTGGACGGTGACCTGCGGATCAGAATCAGTGGCTTATCTAAGGACACTGATAAAAGAATAAGATGGTTGGCTTTAACCATCAGATTTACCTAATTTACTCCATCACTGACCAACCTACTCATTTCTCAGCTCATCACTCCTTCTGAAATCATTTACTTTTAGTTTTATTTCTATGCTGAGATATTTCTGTTAATTATTCTTCACCTATCATTCTGTCTCAGCTTAGAGATCCTTAGCAATACGCATCATTGGGCATGACCCTCCAAGTGAATTCCTTGAAATGTCCCTGCCCAGTATCGATTCTGTATGGGTAGATTTACAAAGAAGTCATGTTGCATCCAACTGAATCAGAGCTGATTCTGCATGAACCAAAGTGGAACCAAATTGGAAGCTGGAGGGGCATATATGGGAGGGAGAAACAAAGACCAGGCTAATCAGCAGATTGGGAGCAGGTGTGAACAGAAGAGTCTAGAAAGAAGCTAGGGAAAACGCGACCAACTCAAGAGGGCAACAGAGGGCAATCTAGAAATACTTTAGAACTCAAATACATCCAGGAAAAACACCACAAAATAGGAATTAAACCAATAAAACTAGAAAAGCAAAGAAAAACATGGATTAAAGTGAAACTGAAAACTCAAAAATAAAACTAGGGCAGAATCAAAACCATGACATCCAGCAGCAAAAAACAGGCAGGGTTCTTGAAAACTAGTATCAGACAGGCAATGCAGGCAATGCAGGGAATTAAAAGCTTTCATTAGATACCTCCAACAACATTTGAGTGATGAAAGATATGTATTTGGTTTTTAAAAATCATTTACATATAACTCTAAGTTGTTGTTATTTTTTTATTTTATGTTTATTAGGTATTTTCTATCAGCTGCCAGGATAATATTTAGTTGTTTAGTTATTTTGATATTTAGTTATTTTCCTATCCCTTGTGTTTTTTTTTTTTTGTTTTCTTTTACAACTTTATCTTTTGATGACTTGACAGCACCATATTGTCCCACACAAATGTACCCTTTACCCTGAACATTTTTATGCAAATAAATTACAAAAGAAACTAAACTGTACTTTGGATGACCATATCATAGATGTTTGCTCAAAGATTCCACTATTGAAGAAGTAATATTTATTGAAAATAAGCCATCAGGACAGATTCATCCTGCTACTGTACCTTAATTATATCTTACTTTGCTCATAATCTGCCATGTGAATCAAACTGGAGGAGGTACAGCTTATGCTCTGAAGAGTTTTCAGTCACCTGTAAGAAAGAAGTTATTTTAGTAAAGATATTTATTTTATATTTTAAAATAATTAACTATAAAAGCTAATATCAATTGAAAAACTGCAATCATAGGTGTTTTGTTTCACTGCTGTTCTCTGCAAGGGCTGAAAGCTGAAAAAGTAAATAACTCATAGTTTTTAAATTTTCTTCTAAAGCTGTCTTTGATGGACCAACAATAAATTTGAGGAAGGAGAAAGCATCACAGTCTTCAACCTTCATTAATGTTAATGAAAACAGATCATACACTGCTGACCGAGCCTTTGATGGGGATCCATCCACATGTTCTCACAGCGACAATCAGATAAACTCCTGGTGGAGAATCGACCTTCAGGGGGTTTACAACATTTCTTGTATCTCTATCTATAATATTGATCAGGCTGGCCGTGAGACTAACATAACAGGTGCTAAGATCTACATCGGAAACTCTCTGCAGAACAACGGCACAAACAACAAACTGTAAGAACCTCATGTTTTATTTAATTGATTTAGTTCCATCTTCTTTAAGTTTCTGCATGTGTATCATCCAACAGTCATTCCTCAAGATACACTTACAAAACCTTAATCTACCTTTTGGTTGTATGTTTAAGAATTCTAGAAATAACATGGGAGAAAAAAGAGATACAGCTTGCGCACGAAATACTAATTCGTTCACACAAAATATTAATTTGTTCCCAAGAAATACTAATTTGTGGCTACAAAAATATATAAAACGTGTGCAAAAAATAGTAAAACATAATCTTCCTAAACACAGCACACCTTGTCAAACGAACAAAACGTGATTGACATAGATAGCCTGATCAAGTTTTATTTTAGGTTGGGGATGAGCTACAAAGACATTCTGAGAAGTTGGATATTTCAAGGAATTCTCCTTAGTGAGAGGCATTTGTATAAAATTTTAAGAGCAGGTCGCTTCACTGGCGGACATACAACTTGGATGCTGGGATAGACTTTATTGTTGACCTATGGGAAACCTCTGAAAAGGAGCACTGTCACCGGTGAATGTATGCTAAGTGCGTACAACATGGTATTCGTGTCAGAAAAGAAGAGATGGAAACCGCAACATTGAAGTTTATAGGAAATCCCCGGACAAAGACCAGTATCTTCTTCTGACTCACACCACCCACTGGAACACAAACTTTTTGACATCACAACCTTACAACACCGGGCCAAGCATGTCCCTACAAAAACAGAGGGGAAGCACAAAGAGCAGAGTTTCTTAGAAACTCAGAAGGATTTTCTCCACACTGCAAAAAATCTAAATCTAGATAAGTCATTTTTTCTTAAAATAAGGGCATTTGTTCTTGGATTGAAGAGGTAAAAGAGACATTTTGCCAATGGAACAAGACAATTTACACTTAAAATCAGGCGCGCTGGAAGCTGTTTCAAGCGAGGGGGGCTGATGGCTGGGTTGGAAAACACATGATGTCATTATGTTGAGGGCTGTGGCTGACGTTTTTAACATAATATTGTAGGCCTACATTTGTCGCCAAAAACTGCCATTTAAAATGCATCGGAACAAAGCATCAAAATTTTAAACTATTATTTCTTCTCTTTTAATCATTCAAAACAAACAACAGCTCCCAATCAACAGGATCAGGAATACTTGAATAAAACATGGCCTAAATATAGCCTAAACTTAGCATTGAACGTCTTGAAAGTCCATTTGACTATGGATATGGGGAATGATTTCGTATCTGAAACAAAAAACACACACACACACAATAAAAAAAATTAACTAATTTCATATTTTATCACTAAATAGCTTAATACAGACATAATATTTAGTGATATGCAGCCTTATTCTAGCGTAGACTTCTTCAGCCACAGGACTAAGACGAATAGGCACATAAATAACGCTAACGCAGTTTAGGGGAATTAAAACCATTTCTTACCTCAAAATAGTCAGAAATACGTTTCTGCTGCCTATTGCTAGCCATGCCTAAACGAATGTGAGGTGGCGGAAGCTTCCGGGGGAGTAGCCTAGTTTTTTATGAAGTATTAAAATAATGAATCATTAGTTTATATCTTATACACAGCCCATCATTTTAATCCAATATCAAACACAGTCTTTTAAGAAATAAATACATAAATAATTTCATGTTTTTAAGTACAATATTATGTTACTCCACAGCCCCCCACCATGGGGGGCTGATGCTATGACGAGGGAGGCTGCAGCCCCCGCAGCACCCCCCTTCCCGTGCCACTGCTTAAAATAAGAAAACACAGTTGCATTGTCTTATTTCAAGTGCATATTATCTAATTATCTTATTTTAAGAGTAAAATTACTCATTCCATTGGCAAACTATCTCGATTACCAATCGAAATCACATATTTTTTGAGTGGCCCCCATCACAGTTAGAGAAGCATTTAAAACAACTCCAGTCCACCACGTCATTACATCATACACGTCTGTAAATGAGGAGACATCCATGGCTCTAGCCTCATCAAAATATTACACTTTTTTCTTAAATCAAGGACACAGCTCTCAATCCATTCGCAAATCTTTTTCGCGTACATAATGAAGAAGATAACTGTATAGCCAGAGTAAAAAACTGTATAGCCAGAGTGAAAAAATCAACTGCCTGGGACACGGTAGATGGGAAGTCCAAGTTTGATTCCACCATTATTATTGTGCAAAAACCAAACGGATCTGCGTCAGATGGGACCGAACTTAAACATGTGGATGCAGTCGGATCTTCATCCAGTGCAACAAGATAGTCTTCTGCACCCTAAAGATGAGGGGCAATGTGCATGACATCTGGTATCCCACTGGACATTTGGCGTTCCCTGGAGGGCCTTATACTGGGAATTTTCCAAACATCCTGGATGTCATTTAATAGAAAGAAAAACATTGACCATTTAGTTATATGCTTGTGAGACCTGAATGATTGTCAGGAAACAGAAGTGCAACAAAGCTTTGTCAATGAAATCCCCAGAGAAGAAACCTCCATCCTTTAATTCTCCATAATTCTCCACCGTTGAACGTCTCTAACCGCCACATTCTCAGTGCCCATGTCAGTCCATACAAGCCTGGGGCAGCCCCCACAACACTCCAATGCCTCCACGAAGTACCCGCCGATGACTTTTTGGTCACTATTAGGAAGGGCAGCCTGCAGCCAATTGACTTTTTGTTAGAACCTGCCGATGCACCTATTAATGCATATGCCATGGCTTTAGTTTGTCATATTAGTCTATGTGCCACACAAGGTTAGGTCCCTGAGCAAAATATTGCAATGAAGTCTATCCCAGCATCCAAGTTGTACGTCAGCTGGTGAAGCAACCTGGCTCTTACAATTCTATACAAACGGCTCTCATTAAGGAGATTCCTTGTTCTCAGAATGTCTTTGTAGCTTATCCCCAGCCTAAAATAAAACTCGATCAGGCTATCTCTGTCAATCACATTTTGTTCCTTTGAGAAGATGTGCTGTGTGTAGGAAGATTATGTTTTACTATTTTTTTCACACGTTATATATATATATTTTGGGGCCACAAATTAGTATTTTTTTTTGGAAACAAATTAGTATTTTCTGGGAACACATTAATATTTTGTGGTAACTAATTATTATTTACTAGGAACACATTCATATTTAGTGATATCGCATTATCATTTCGTGCGAACAAATTAGTATTTAATGTGCACGCTGTATCTCTTTTTTCCTCCCATGTCAGTTATGGGGCTCTGTACAATTCTGATTAAATTCTCACTAAATTGTTCATGATTGGGTTTCATGTCAGACGCTACAAATAGCCTAGTCCTTCTGTAAATCATGCGGGTCTGTGATGTTTTCTGTGAATTTTCCAGCTTTCTGCTCAATCAGTATCTTCAGGGCAGCTGCATTATTTTGACTGAATATGAAGTTATTAGTTGTTAACAGTTTCTAGCTGATTGTAATTAATATTTTTTTATATCCAATCATTACATGTTTGCTTTTCTTCTCTTTATCCAGGGTTCAAAACATCTCCAACTTTCAAACAAACAAGTACAATGTCTATAAGCTTCAGTCATCAGTTTTGGGGCGCTATGTCACTGTGATCATACCCAAAAAACAACATATGATTATTTGTGACATACACATCACTGGCAGAAAGCTTGGTATGTGGTCTGTGATCATAAGCTCCCACTATAGAAAGGCTCATAATTAGTAATAATTTCAGTTTTCAATGTAAATATCAGGCTTTTAAAAGCAGACTGCCTGGCGTCATACTCCCAAATGTGGCAGATGAGTGTTAGAGAGTTTATTTATATGAGGAACACAATCTTCTCCAAATAATGTCGGGCATTTTCTGGCAAAATATGAATTGTCATGAAATAAAGGTTAATTTAAAAGTAACATAAATATGATCACATTTAAATAACTTTAGTGTAGAGCTGTAAAACCGTTATACGTGTTACTTTCCTTCTCCATTCAGCCATTTATGCTTTGTTGCTGTGATTACAGATCGTTTTGTAATATAAAATGGTTTTTGAATTGTAGGGTTTTACTGTGAAATAAGAAATGCCATAAGATATGACTTTTTAAAGGTATTAATTGGGATATTACAGGGAAACTTAATAATACTGGTAATTATTGTGGAAACTTGATAATTTCTAACTGTGTGACCCTTACAGTTTTGTGCATCCTAGAACTTTATTTAAACAAAGTCTGTTTTTGTTTTTCTGTTAAAGCATCCCCTTTTAAACTAATTAAGAAAAATAAGACCTGGGAAGAAGCCCTGTACTACTGCAGAGATAACCACAGAGATCTGGCCTCCATCCTGGATCAAGAGATGCAGGCCTTTGCTGAGCTGGAGGCTGAGAAGGCCAACAGTCCCTTCGTATGGCTCGGCCTTCATTACACCTGCACCCTGGACTTCTGGTTCTGGGTTGATGATAATGTTGTGCGTTTCAAACGCTGGGCTAACATCCCCCCAGAGGAGGACTGTGACATGAGTGGAGCCATGAAGACACAGGGAGACCATCTGTGGTTCAGCAAGTCTGATTATGAAGAGTTTAATTTTATCTGTTTGCTTTAGGAAGATTTTAGACTTCTACCTGATTGTAATGTTAATATTCCTTTATTATTGCCTCCTCTTTGATTTTATTATGATTTAGAAATTTTTCTCTAAAGTGTTGCAATGACCACTTAGAGAGTTTATTATTCTAGCTTCCACTTATGTCAATTACTGTAGTAACTGAGTTATGGATTCTGAACAGCTGAATATTTGGATATGAAAGTTTCTCTAAGATTTTACAAGGTGTAACATTTTATCTCATATCACTTAATTAAATGCTGTGTGAAGTAAAAAGGAGAATCTTTTACTGAGTTTATTTAATTACAAAATGCCCAGAATTTCTATAACTCATTCTTTCAAAACGACCAAATGTAGTCTTTACTACAGTCTCATGTGGGAACTTTTTCTTGTCCTAAAAATGTCCAGCATTGATCTTCACAAGTCTATTATTTTGCACAAAGAGCTAAATTGTGAACGACAAGCTTAAGGAACAGCCTCTGTGTTTGGGCCTGTGATGGTACCATGGATTCAAACACCTAAATCTGGCCAACAGCCTCTGTGCTTCAGGCAGTGCCTTGCCTCCATCCATCCATTTTCTAATGCTTATTCCATCAGGGTCACAGTGGGGCCGGCGCGTATCTGCGGGAGTCTATGGGCGAGAGGTGGGGTACACCCTGGATATGTCACCCTCTGTCTCAGGGCAACACAGAGACAAAAAAAGACATACAGCCATGCACACACACACATCCCTAACAACAAGAGAAGCCAGTCCACCTAACAGTCATGTTTTTGGGCAGTAGAAGGAAGCTGGAGTACCTGGAGAGGAACTCATGCATGCACAGGGAGAAACTCCATGCAGAAAGATCCTGGGCCAGGAATTGACCCAGAACCTTCCTGCTGCAGGGCAACATTGTTAGAAACTGTTCCACCTAGCAGCCCGTGTCTTGTCTCTTTTAAATCATTATAGTATATGCCTACAAGATAGAAAACGAAGGACCAAGAGGTAAAAACATTAGTCTTTTCCTGTTGAATTCCTGCTCATGTCTATAGCTGCAGTAGAAAAGTGCACCATAAGCTTTTTCACTCACCAATCCTGCTCTTAGAGTTCTTTCACTTAAAGCAGACAATTAGTAAACGCCCTATGACAAGAGGACACTGTGCAGCGATCTGTGCACCGTGGGATACTGCAGCTCTTTCTTAGGTGAGGCAGGATATGGACTGTATAGCTTCCTTTCCTCCTATTTTTATTTTCAGGATCCAGGTCACTGGTCTCTATTTATTCACAGGATTGCTGATGGGCTGATGGTAGTAGAGGGTGCTGTGTAGTGACCAGCCGCCATATTGGCACTCCCTAGTAAGACGATAAATAAATATGTGCGCTACAGCATCGAACAACTATGATTTTCAAATTTTCGGGGGACTTAAGCCTTTTAAAATCAAGATAAGTTCATCACCTTGACACACACTTGCTGTTTCATAGCATCAATAGATTACTATAATTTATGGTTAAAACAAAATAGGCTCATCATATTGCATATTCAGTATGATGTCCATGAAATCATGTAATATACAAATATGCAAATCCATCATAATAAAATGTATGTGTTAATGGAGCATAATACTGTACTTAGATGTTAAGAATGTGCCAAAGTGCACAAGTCCATTTGCAAATTATGCTGTGTCTGTGCATTAGCCTTTAAATCTGACAGATTTAAAATGGAGCTAAATTAATGAACCAGTTTAATAACTCCATAGAGCATCCTAAAACTGGCAAAATCACAAAAATTTGCAAAGAGGCAACATCAAATTCATATCTTGCTTTTTACACAAAGTTACAAGCACTTGATCATTTGCTTATACATACAATGATGTATTCACACACGTACAGAAACAAACACATACACTATTTAGTGCATTCAGCCCCTGTGAGGTAAACATATAACATGGTGAGGAAGGGGTGCGTGTGGGATACAGAGGCAAGCTGAGCTTCAACATCGTTAACAAAAAAGAAAGATGCGGATCTTCGTGTCTAAAATAAAAAAAATAAACCTGCCGTTCTCTTAATTTTTCCACTCTGGGTCCCAGTTTCAAAAATAATGGTTTATGCTCACCTAAAATCCTGACTTTGTTTGGATACTCAGTGTTGGGATCTGGAGGTCTGTCCACTTTCTCCACCAGAGGGCCTACGAGATCTCTTGGAGCCGGAGCTGATTGCACCACCTGTCGCTCATCTGCTCATCAGGAGATCCGTATTTAAGGAGGCAGAGGACGTCTCTCCAGTGCCAGAGTGTTTGCCAGTAACGGTTAGCAAGCCTGAGCCAACCAGCCTGTCTGAACCTCTGACTCCCTGAAAACCTGAACCTGATCTGTCTTCTCCTCTCTGCTTCCTAGATTGAACCTGCCTGAAACCTGAAACCCTGAAGAGTTTTTCTGCCAGTAATCTGCCTGCCTGTTCCTGTCTAAGATCTGCCTGCGCGCTCTCAGAAGATACTGGAAGGAAACTCAAATCTGTGATCTGCCAGCACTCAAATTAAGCTCTGCCTCCGCCTAGCCCTCAGCCTGCCGACAGCCTCTGGACCCTCAAGGTCTCCCCCCCTCTGCCGCTCTGCTCAACTTCAGAAGAGGTACAGCCCTGCACACTCTCATCCTGCAAAATACCTGGACCTCACTAACTCGTCTGTCCCCCTCTGCAGTGAACCCACTCGTGACCAGTCCTGGATCTGATTATTCTGTGTGCTTTCAGGATCCACTCATGACCAGACCAGACCAGTTCATTATTTGTGTTCAAACATCTCAATAAACCTTTGAACTTTTCTCCTGCCTCTGAGTGTTCTGCATGTGAGTTAGGCACCTTAAACCAAACATGACACTCAGCTTTAATAAAGAAATATTTGTTGCACCTGATGTCGTCTCAATGTGGATAGTGCCTTAGTCTCTGTATGTCATTAGATCATTTTATTTCATTTGATTGAATATGGACTTTAGAACACAAACATTATTAAAAATATATTTGTTGTTTTTCTTGGGTTATGAAAATTCTTAAAGAAATAGAAAATACTTATAAACAACACTGATAAATTACAGTTCATTATGAAATACAAGTAATTATCTTATACCTTTACTACTAAAACTACATTTATGTGTCATCTGTGCTAATTTAAAACTAAAACAGAAATAGAAACAATACTGCCCTTTTTTTTTCTTTTTCTTAGGAAAAGAAATAAATATTAGTTTAAATTTTTTTTAGCATGATCTTAAACCCTCTGCCGTTTGTCAGCATTGATGCAAACATTTATTCTCTGAACATTAAGGTTTAAGCTGCGGCCCATCAGTGTCTAACACTCCTGTCAGTACAGCCCTGTTCCACCAGCGCTCGCTGAAGCTCTGCAAACATGCAGAGGTCAGGCTCTCTCCATCCTGGTAGTCCTCTCTCATTTTCTCTGGGATCAGATCCTCTGACATCACCTGGATCATCAATGAAAACAGAAGGTGTTACTGTCTTTAAAACACCTTATCTAGTTCTCTTTAGATTGTGGGAATAAAGCCAGAACGTGTCATGCTTTGTTCCCACCTCAGTGACAGTCTGCAGTGTCGCTTCTTTAGGATTTAGTCGCTGCAGTTCCTCTGCTGTAATCTGTAGAGCCTTCTCACTGCGCTGCAACACAAAGGAGGACTGCTGCTGGCGGAGGATTCGCAACAGGAGTCTGGAACAGAAATAGTTTACAGGACATTTAAAAAAAGAAACTGAACTGTGTGATGTAGCCCATGATAAAGCATTATTTTATTTGAAAGTTTTACCGTGTTCTGATGAAACAGATGCAAGCTCTGAGCCAGACTCTATCCTCAGAGAGTTCTGCTGCCCCCTCCTGGTCCTTCTCAGAATCACCATTCACAGCCTCTGATGTGTGCTCTGACACAGGACGAGATGTTTCATTTGTATTTTGAACTAAATTGACACAAGCGGAAAACATTGTTTAACCTAAGAAATTAAAGTACATATACCTTTTTTGGGATTTCTATCCAGCAGTTGTAAACACGTCTGTCCCAGGCTAAGCCAGTGCCAGGGGTTAAAGGGCAGCAGGCTGCAAAGCTGTTGCAGACAGGACATTTGAGGCCCCACAGAGCCATGGTTCTGGTAGATGCTGACCTTTTGGATAAGTTCAGATACAGAGTTGGCATTATATCTGGAGATAAAACTTTGGATTAGGAACACACTTTTATTTAATACATACTTTAAGCAGCAGGAGACTGGTGAGGTGACAGGTGTTTGAGGCTTCTTTGCTCTGCAGAAATTAAACACACAGTGAAGATATCAATAAACAGGGGGGAAAAAATGATAATTTAACCTCTCTTATTCTTATTGTGTGTCATAAGATTTTTTGATGTAATCAAACTATTTTAAAGAGGTTTCCTGAACATTGCATGAATAGCATTGATGGCAGGGATTTTCAGAAAAAGCCTGCAGGAAAAGGATTACCAGTAATTCGGCCAACTCCAGTGCCTGTTCCGTTCGGCCGAGCCTGGTGCAGCATCGAGCCATTCCCTCCAGAACATCTCGCCTGATGGTTAGGTTGTTGTCTGCGATCAACTGCAGGCAGCTGCTGTATGCATCCAAGGCTCTCTGAATAAGGCAGAAATAAAGTCTGTTATCATTTAGCTTTAAACTTAATCAGCTACCAGTTGTTTCATTAATTTTAATGCAATGCAAACATAAAAGATGGGAAACATCATTTGATATGTTCAGACTTTATACATTATAACTGAAAGGGTTAAAAGATTACAAATCAGTTTGGCTTGATTTCATAAAAGCCGTCAGTGTGTGTTGCCCTAAGGCATTTCTGGGGAAATATAACACTCTGCACATGTATATAAATGGTTATTAGGAATTTTATGAAAACATTTCTTCTCTTCACAAAAGCTCTGCCTGTTTGTTCATCTGGAAAACATATAAACTAAGAACTAAAAACAGTTTTATTTTTTTGTTCAGTTTTCACTCTAATTAGTTGCTGGAGAATCAAGTATTTACCGAGTAAAAGAAAACTAAACAAGTTGAATTACCTGATAGTTTCCTTGTCTAAAAGCCAGGTCACCTCTGAACTTAAATACTTTCTGCTTCTCCAAAGTATCGTCCGTGTCCAGAGCGGTACTGTCACAAAACCACTGCAGCGAGAAACAAGGGAACAAAACACATTACCTGTAAAATTCATGTTTTACATCTAAAACCTTAAAAATAATGAGAAAAATGTCTCAGTTTGATGATTTCTTAAGTATACATGTAGGCCCCCAGATACACATAAAGATATCAATGAGTTTGTATCATCTCTAACCACACTGCTTTAAATCCAGTCCCTTTATACACCTCTAAACAGAATTTTCTTTTTCTTGACAAAAAAGAAATGTTACTTGTAGAAATAAGTTCCTGAATAGTAGATATGTGGCAACTTATTGGGAACAGAAAGAAGAGGGGAATATTGCTACCAAAATCTTCTATGTAGGAAACATAGATGAGCTCTGTAGAATTTAAACAGAGACAAATGCACATATTCTAGAGCATCAAGTTTATCAGGAAAGACAATGTTTAGGTTTACAGCAGCTTCAGATTTCTGTGTAGAATCAATGTATTTTTGTAGAGACAAATCAAGAAACTTGTTATCTTAAAGAACTTTACAGAGTCAATTAAATGAAATCATAAAGACAGACTCCTTTAAAATGAGCATTCAAACAGTGACAGTGGAGAGAAAAATCCCCCTTTAACAGGAAGAACCGGGCTCAGGCTTGGTTTAATCTTGACAGATCCAGGAGGTCCACACAGCAATATTCAATCATTTTAGCGCCGAAGCCACTCTGTGCAGCTTGGAAAATCTGTAACTATGCAGACAGCTTGGTATAGAAAAACATGGTGATCAAACTAGGGCTGAAACTATTAATCGGGATAAATCGATTATTTAAATAATCGTTAACTTATTTAGTAATCAATTAATTGTTACCAGGAGGGCAGAGACTCTAAAACATGTCTTTAGCTGAAAGAGCAACCCACTTAGACAATTAACTATACCCCAATTGTAAAAAAAAAAAAAAGAAAAGTTAAAATTTTGCATTCAAGATAAAATAAATAAATAAATAAAATAAAAACATTTTCATCTGTCAATATACTCTATCCAGAACCCATCAAGTTGAAAAGTTTTAGTTTCAACTGGTTTAATTTCATAAAAATCTTCTTTAGGGACCTTTTGCATTCTGATTATTAACCAACTAATCAAAAAATAATCGCCAGATTAATCCATTTGCAAAATAATGGTTAATTGCAGCCCTAGATCAAACAACAGCTCCTATAGGTGATGGTTTGCAAACCTGAACATCTAGAGACATCCTAAAAAAACTTCAAACACAACTTTCAGTGAGACTCTTCTGCCAGGACTGACATGCAAACAAAAGGAATACAGAAGTACTGATCAAGGAAGACTTTCTAAAAAGCTTGATAACAAAATATCAATATACACTCACCGGACACTTTATTAGGTACACCTGTCCAACTGCTCGTTAACACTTAATTTCTAAGCAGCCAATCACATGGCGGTAACTCAATGCATTTAGGCATGTAGACATGGTCAAGACAATCTCCTGCAGTTCTAACCGAGCATCAGTATGGGGAAGAAAGGTGATTTGAGTGACTTTGAACGTGGCATGATTGTTGGTGCCAGAAGGGCTGGTCTGAGTATTTCAGAAACTGCTGATCTACTGGGATTTTCACGCACAACCATCTCTAGGGTTTACAGAGAATGGTCCGAAAAAGAAAAAACATCCAGTGAGCGGCAGTTCTGTGGGCGGAAATGCCTTGTTGATGCCAGAGGTCAGAGGAGAATGGCCAGACTGGTTGGAGCTGATAGAAGGGCAACAGTGACTCAAATAACCACCCGTTACAACCAAGGTGGGCAGAAGAGCATCTCTGAACGCACATTACGTCGAACTTTGAGGCAGATGGGCTACAGCAGCAGAAGACCACACCGGGTGCCACTCCTTTCAGCTAAGAACAAGAAACTGAGGCTACAATTTGCACAAGCTCATCGAAATCGGACAGTAGAAAATTGGAAAAACGTTGCCTGGTCTGATGAGTCTCGATTTCTGCTGCGACATTCGGATGGTAGGGTCAGAATTTGGCGTCTACAACATGAAAGCATGGATCCATCCTGCCTTGTATCAACGGTTCAGGCTGGTGGTGGTGGTGTCATGGTGTGGGGAATATTTTCTTGGCACCCTTTGGGCCCCTTGGTACCAACTGAGCATCGTTGCAACGCCACAGCCTACCTGAGTATTGTTGCTGACCATGTCCATCCCTTTATGACCACAATGTACCCAACTTCTGATGGCTACTTTCAGCAGGATAATGCGCCATGTCATAAAGCTGGAATAATCTCAGACTGGTTTCTTGAACATGACAATGAGTTCACTGTACTCAAATGGCCTCCACAGTCACCAGATCTCAATCCAATAGAGCATCTTTGGGATGTGGTGGAACGGGAGATTCGCATCATGGATGTGCAGCCGACAAATCTGCGGCAATTGTGTGATGCCATCATGTCAATATGGACCAAACTCCCTGAGGAATGCTTCCAGCACCTTGTTGAATCTATGCCACGAAGAATTGAGGCAGTTCTGAAGGCCCAACCCGTTACTAGCATGGGGTACCTAATAAAGTGGCCGGTGAGTGTATATTGCAAAAAGATGATCTGACCTGATCAATATCAACAGAAAACTGAGATAAATCTGATAGAATGATCTATAATTTGCCACTGCAGTGACTACAAGCAAAGGGGCATAAAGCAGAGTGCTTTTAAATCTTTCTATAGAGTGCCCATTTACTAGGTCTCCAACCTGCTGACCTCAGACAACATTTCTCTGTTTTTAAAAGATCATCCTGTAAATCCTCGATCTCAAATATGAGGCTTTTCTGTAACTTGGGTTTGGTAATATATTATACACTGAAACCTAAAATTTATATTCCAAACTAACCTCATTAGCTTTGTTTTCTATATACCTTTTACTTAAAAAAAAAAAAAACATCTTTTTATTGTGTCATTGAAATAAGGTAAACTACTATAAGCTAGAAACCCCTACAACAGGTCAAAGAAAGTGTGTAAAATAGTGATAAATGCACGTTATATAAACAGAAACATTGTTCTCACCAAAATTAAGCTTAAACTATTTTAACTGCAATGTTCCATAAATAAGAAATATTTCAAGTGTCATCTTCCCCTCTTTTAAACTCTTCAAAGGTCAAAATGTAATGCTTTTCGTCTGAATTTTAGACAGGCAAAAAACTGCAATACCTACATGAAAAATATTCCAATGAGCATAAATTATTGAAGCAATGTTAGAGACTTTCTAAAAAAAAATAGCGTCAGGATCTTTATGAGCAATATTTCTACCAAGAGTAAATTAATCCAAACTAGGCCGTTATATCTCCGCTTTATAGGAACATTTCAAATATGGACAATCAATTTACAGAAACATACATCGTCCTGCCTGCAGACTCACCTCCGGTTCGCAGAATTTGGCGTTATAAAACGACAGAGAGCGACACACCCGCTCTCTGGCCTCCGAGAACACAGAGTCATCAAATGTGCTGCCGATAATCTCCATCAGGGAACGTCAGATCTTCTATTACAAAGAAAAAATTGATCACAACACTACACAAGTTTAGCCTATTTGTTTTCGTAACAGCCATTCGGTCCGTCTAGAAGAGCGTACTGACGGAACACAAGTTAAACTATGGTTCCTGGTAGAAACGTTCCCAGAAACGATAAAACGGGAAATTATTTATTTATTGTTATTTTTATTACAATTTTTTATGATTATTATTTTATTTTATGAGATCTATTGGCAAATATTAATGAATATCAGCAATAACATAGAAAACATTTAACTATATGGCACATTAAAGGATAAATTAAAGCACATCCAAGAAAATAGTAAAGACAAAATAAAAACATGTGAATAAAATCAAATAGAGAAAAAAAAGGATTTAGGGATTGTCTGTTTTCCTTTCCATCAGTTTCATGGCTTTTAGGTAAAAAATATCACTTAACGTTAAAGGTTTTTTTTGTTTGAGTTTTCAAGGATACACAAAAAAAAAGAGCACCGCATCCATAGATATGAGATTTTTCAAAGACTAATGTGTAATCTGTTTTTTATTTATGTTTTGTTATTAATTTTGCTGCGTTCAGACCGGCAGCAGTGTCTGTGGCGAGTGCGGTTGATTCACATTGAATTCCTATAAACCAAGTGGGGATGGGCGGTAAAGCTTCCAGTGACGATTCCCACTTGTTAAGGGCGTTCACGGCAATAAATAATTCAACCATCATAAATCTTCCAAAACTCTATTTAAAAACAAATTTTCGATGCTTCTTTTGGTGAATATTATCACTAATTCTAACAGCCACTTCAGGTTATTCACCCTTTCTTTAGATTTACCCTTCCAGAAATGGTGAAGCAAATGGAAACTGACAAATATATGATCATAGTTGACTTAATAATGAGTGATTATGATTATTTAAATTCATATTCTGATCGCATTATATTCAGCAGTTATTTTCAGATGTGGTAATGTGGCCATTTTGTTAAGTTTATTGCATGTTTTCTAATTTTGGATTTTGTTTGTTTTTGAACTTGGTTGCTTGTTTTCTAATTTTGTGTATTGCATGTTTTTGTTTGGATTTTGTTTGGAGGCCACATTGCCACTCACACCTGGACACGCCCACAGCAACGGCACAGGTGTTCCCCATCAACCAGGCAGCGTGCTGACTGGGACGCTGATATTAAAAAGGCAGCTGCTTGGTTGGAGAGACAGACACCGGACATGGGAAGGTTTGGTTGGGGAAGGCCGATCTTGGAGGGAGCCGGAAGGAGCGAGTGAAAGAGTGAAGCAGCGGGAGAGCCTTGGGGACTGACGGCCGGAGGCCGCTGGAGCGAGGTGCATAGACGCGCACCGGAGAGAGAGACGCGCACCGGAGAGAGAGACGCGCACCGGAGAGAGAGACGCGCACCGGAGAGGAGCGCGCCGGAGAGACGCGCACCGGAGCGTCTAAATAAATATATAAATGTAGCCTACTTCACTGTTTTTGATCCATCACCATGCATTCTGTCATGTAAAAACTTTTTATATTGTACTAATAAAATGACAATAAAGGGGACACTTGTCTTCCAGAAAATTTGTCGGTCTGACTTGTTTTCTGTACCGAGCGAGGTGCAGGGACGCGCACCGGAGCAAGGTGCAAGGACGCACGCCGGAGAGACGCGCACCGGAGCGGGGTGCAGAGAGGCCCGTCATGGAGCGAGGCGCAGAGGCACGCTGGCGAGAGGCGCGAGTTGGAGGAGACCTCGCAGGCCAGCTACGCTGAAGAGGCCCACACGCGCAGCGTGCCGAAACGAGGACCCAGCGCTGGGGTGGACGGTGCCCTCCATTATACCCGCCAAGTGCGCGTCTTTTAACAGACTTGCCCATTGACTCTGCTGCTCTCCACTATCTGGATTTTTATCTTTCTTTAATCTTTTCTCTTTCATCTATCTTTTTTTTTATCTTTTTCCTTTTAACGTATTTTATTGAACACTTTTAGCGAGCTCGTCTTTTTAAGAAATTATTGAACTTTTAATCTATTAAACTTTTTAAGGCCCTGCTCACAATCGCCGCAGTCTGTTTGGTTTTTATGTTTTTTTTAAAGATGATCGCACCTCTCGGGTGCCACAGATCATCTTTAAAAAAACCATATAAAGTTAACCCGCAAAAAACGCGCGTTCTCCAACGTTACCAACAAGCGCCGCCTTTTACGCGCGTCATGATAGTACCGCAAGACGCGCGTTAAATACGCGCGTTGTGTCGGTCAGAACGCGCGTTAAATACGCGCGTTGTGTCGGTCAGAACGCGCGTATTTAACGCGCGTTTTCCTAATATGATAATGATGTCCTTCCTTCTTTTCCCACAGCCAATGCATTTGAACTGGTTGCATCCAATCTCTGATCAAGGCAGCCAGACCAAGAAAGTTCAGCACAGATCTGCTTTGTGGAAAACTGCACAGAGCTCAATGTTGCAGCATTGCCAGAATTCACTGCATTGCCATTTCACAAAGCCTTAATTTTAGGAATATATCCACTACTTACACTTTGCTGTTATTTTGAATCCATTCCATGCCTATTTTCACGTAAAAACGTTTTGCATCAACATGCATCGCCAACTAATGTTTTGTATTCACAGGTATTAGTAGGAATGTTTCACCACTTAATACTACCGAGAGGGGGTGTGGTGGCTTAAGTGACCGCCTTCAATGCGATCCTTTTGCTTCGTGGCGGGTTCGAATCCGGCAGAGGCCGTCCGACTTTTCCCTTTATATTCTGTCTTGTCTCCAACCAAGCCCATTTATTTATTTATTTTTTTCTGAGAATATAATCATAAATGTAGCCTACTTCACTGTTTTTGATCCATCGCCATGCATTCTGTCATGTAAAAACTTTTTATGTTGTACTAATAAAATGACAATAAAGGGGACACTTGTCTTCCAGAAAATTTGTCGGTCTGACCTGTTTTCTGTATATTTTCCTGCATATCACCAACCTTTTTCCATAATGCTTTATACAGCCATGGAGCAACTGCTGTTAAAATTAAATTAACAGGAACATTTCTTATTAAAAGTGTTATTAGTGCAATGAGAAAAAACTTGCTTAGTTGAGCCAGTGGAGGTTTGATGATCCCCATAGCTCATGTTCTCTGTCTCCTACATATACATATATATATATATATATATATATATATATATATATATATATATATATATATATATATATATATATATATATATATATATATATATATATATATATATATATATATATATATATATATATTAACCACGTCACATAAATGTTCTTTCAGTCTGCAGATGGCGCCATATAACGGGTAGGCTACTGGCAGAGCAGCAAACAGGTGTTTGCACCAAAGCTGGGGAACAATATAGGCAAGGTGTGTCTCTTTTTCAAGAGAGAACTGGATACTGGATTCTTCTATCTTTTTTATTTATTATGAACTATTATTTATCTATTTCCCACTACCTTTGACCACTAGTCAATACCTTTACTTATGTGTACTAGAACAAGATCCAAATGTGCAAGAGTCTAATTACATTTTCATTGTGGAGTAGGAGACAAGGTATGGGTGCAGCACCTTCCATTGGGGGTGTATCCAGAAAACAGGTACTACGTTACTTAGATGTTACATTTAATTTTAACTGCAGTTGTTCCGTGGCTGCAGAAAGCATTATGAGCTTGGGAAAAGGTTAGTGATATGCAGGAAACATACAGAAAACAAGTCAGACAGACACATTTTCTGGAAGACAAGTGGCCCCTTTAATGTCATTTTATTAGCACTATGTAAAAAGTTGTTACATGACAGAATGAATAGCGATGGATCAAAAACAACAGAGAAGTGGGCTACATATATGGATTATATTCTTGGTTAGAGGCAAGAGAGAATATCAAAGGCATAGGTTTGATTTCAGCTTTGGCAGGGACACTATTGGTCTTCAGTTTCACTGGTCTAATGTCATTGGTCCTTTGCAAAAAGATGCATACTCTTTTTTTTAATGCTTAATGTGAGCATCAGGCTTTGATGTGTTTAAAGAGAACAGCATAATTTTTTCCTAGATTAATACAAATCTTATAAGCACTACACTCACTAGATGCTGTTTAGCAATGTTTGAAGCATCACTGGCTCTGATCAATGTGCAATTAGGACTTTTTCCACTTTGAAAATGTTTGCATTTAAACTTACCAGTAAGACAGAAGGTAAATACATTCCTATTTGACCAAATATAGTCTATATATGCCTGTTATATGTTGACGTATCATGGGTTTTCTTTTGAAGATGTATAACTGTACAGAGGTAAACAGGTGAAACCCACTCTTATTTTTTTATCTAATATGCTCTCTCTGTGTCATGCAAAATAATACATTCAACGGACGGCAAATAAATGTATTGTATTTACATGTGCACTGGAACTATAAGAGGAACTGACACTGAGGATTTTGAATATTAACTTCACTATACAAGTTGTACATCTGGGCTGTAGTTAGTCTATGTAGCCCATTTCATAAATTTGTTCTATGGCTAAAACAATTAATCACATCTATCAATAATTTAAATAATCGTCAACTGATTAAGTAATTGATTAATCATTAACTGGAGTATAGAGCCACTAAAATGTGCCTTTAAGCCAATAGAGCAGTGAAGGGCAGCTGCTTCACCATGAGGCTGCCCTGCATCATTATATCTGTTTCCTACAATCATATAATGTTTCTATTATACAAGTGCGTTTATAATAGTAAAGGATTAAATGTAACAACCTTTTATCAGTACCTGTTTTCTGGATACACCCCCAATGGAAGGTGCTGCACCCATACCTTGTCTCCTACTCCACAATGAAAATGTAATTAGACTCTTGCACATTTGGATCTTGTTCTAGTACACATAAGTAAAGGTATTGACTAGTGGTCAAAGGTAGTGGGAAATAGATAAATAATAGTTCATAATAAATAAAAAAGATAGAAGAATCCAGTATCCAGTTCTCTCTTGAAAAAGAGACACACCTTGCCTATATTGTTCCCCAGCTTTGGTGCAAACACCTGTTTGCTGCTCTGCCAGTAGCCTACCCGTTATATGGCGCCATCTGCAGACTGAAAGAACATTTATGTGA